GCGCGCGCGCGCGTGTGTGTGTACTCGTGTGTGTGTGTGTGCGTGTGTGCCTGTGTGCCTGTGTGCCTGTGTGGTTGTGTGCCTGTGTGCGTTCGTGTGTGTGTGTGTGCACTGTTGCGCGGGTGTGCGGATGCGTGGGTGCGTGTAGGTATGAGTGCGCATGTGCGGCGCGCGTACGTTTGCGAGCGCGTGTGCGTGTGCGTGTGGGCGTGGGTGTGGGTCTGTGTGTGCGTGTGTCTGTCCGCATGTGCGTGCGAGTGCGTGTGCGCTTGCGTGCTTGCCTGCGCGCGCGCGTTCAAAGCAGAATTCAGCATGTGACCCGCATGTCTGTCACACAGCACAAACAACGTCAGTTTAATCTGCATCAAATTATGTGAGGAAAGATGTTGCAAATGCAACATGTATTCACAGACAAGTTCAAAAATAAACGTCCAATCAAAACATAATAGTATGTGTATCTTCACAAAATCGCTCAGCTCATGCTCTACAGTAGGAACAGGTCCCTACTGAGGCGCCCACTTTGCACGATCCGCCTGGATTTGCTTCGCAATCTTCTCTGCCTGACACAAACATCATGGATTCGCCAAACATGGCATGCCCACACATTGGTCTCCCCAACTATGCAAAGCAGCTGGAGGTCAAAATGGAATCCTACCTGCTCCATTCCGTATCCATGCTTCCAGTGCGAGTCATAGAACAGTACTTTGTGTCCTGGAGATATTGGTTGATGTGACAAACAAGCAAACAAAGAACACACACACACAAAGCACCCAAACGAACAAACAATCCATCAAAAAAAACAAACCAAGCCAAACGATCCAAACCGAGCCCAACCAAACCAAACCAAGCCAAGCCAAGCCAACAAACAAACAAAGCAAGCAAACAAACAAGCAAACAAACAAAACCAGCAAAGAAGCAAGCAAACAAGCAAACAAGCAAGCAAACAAACAAACAAACAAGCAAGCAGACAGACAGACAGACACACACACACAAACACAAACACACACACACAAACAAACAAACAAACAACCAAACAAACAAACAAACAAAACAAGCACGCAAGCAAGCAAGCAGGCAAGCAAGCAAGCAAACAAACAAACAAACACGCAAACAAAACGAGCAAACAAACAAACAAACAAACAAAGAAACAAACAAACAAACAAACAGGCAAACAGCCAAGGACACACACACACAGGCACACACACAGAGAAAAGCCCATGCGTACACAACAGTCTATCGGTTTGGGAAGTGCAAACAAAGAGCATCTGAAGCCAACCAGTAAGCCGCTCAGAAGCTCCTGATGGAATGTGCTTGAAAAGCGCCTCAGCATCGGCATCACAAGGCATTTTATAAGGCATTTAACTCAAGGCTACTCTGCCGTTCAAAAACGGCCCAGTCCGGCACCATGGACATCCAGTAGCCGCCCACCAACGGAACCCAGCCCTCAGCTCAGCAAACATGTCAACGACAAAGTTTGCGGCGGTGGCCTCCCACCAAAGCTTGTTCACATGTGCCTTCAACCCAGGGCAAAAGCAAGTGCTACTGCAGCCAAGACTCAGTTTCCACCTGTTGAAACAAATCTCCTTTGAAGAATTGGCCTTGGTGTCCGTTGCTTGTAGTTCATCATCAAGCACACCAGCGCATCGTGCATCCAAGATGCTCCCACCGGCATGGGAAAGGCCAGTCGCTTCTCTCACCAATTTCTGCGGGCAACATCCCTCCCAACTGTCAAAAGAAGCAACATGGCTGCCCACCAAGTTGAAGGTATGGCTCACAACAGGAATGGCATGACCAGCTGGCTTTCGGCTTTCTGCCTCAACGTCCTCGTAGCCCCACCCACCCATTTCAACTTCCTGGGCCTCAGTGTGTCTGTGTGTGTGTGCATACGTGTCCGTGTGGGTGTCCGTGCGCCAGTCCGTGTTTGTGAGCGCGTGAGTATGCGCATTGGCGTGCGTGCGCGGCGCGTGCGCGTGCGCATGCACCTTCGCTTGCGCCTGCACGTGCGCGCTCGTGCGGGTGCGCGGAGCGTGCGTGTGCGTGTGCGTGTGCGTGTGCGTGTGCGTGTGCGTGAGCGTGCGCGTGGCTTGTGCGTGTGCGTGTGCGTGTGCGTGTGCGTGTGCGTGTGCGTGTGCGTGTGCGTGTCTGTACTCACGTATGCGATGTCGGTAATGAGTGTCGCGTGTCGCGATATCGCGTGCGTGTGCGTGTGCGTGTGCGTGTGCGTGTGCGTGTGCGTGTGCGTGTGCGTGTGCGTGTGCGTGTGCGTGTACGTGTGCGTGTGCGTGTGCGTGTGCGTGTGCGTGTGCGTGTGCGTGTGCGTGTGCGTGTGCGTGTGCGTGTGCGTGTGCGTGTGCGTGTGCTTGCGCGTGTGCGTGCGCGTGCGCGTGCGCGTGCGCGTGCGCGTGCGCGTGCGCGTGCGCGTGCGCGTGCGCGTGCGCGTGCGCGTGTGCGTGTGCGTGTGCGTGTGCGTGTGGGCGTGTGTGTGTGTGTGTGTGTCTGTGTGTGTGTGTGCGTGCGTGTGTGTGTGTGTGTGTGTGTGTCTGTGTGCACGGGTGTGTCTGTGTGTGCTTGTGTGTTTGGTGTGTTTGGTGTGTTTGGTGTGTTTGGTGTGTCTGTGTGCTTGTGCGTGTGTGTGTGTGTGTCTTTGCGTGTGGCGTTTGTCTTTGCATGTGTATGTGTGTGTGGCTGTGTGTGTGTGTGTCTGGTTGTATTCGTGCGCTTTTATTTGTGTGTTTGTGTGTGTGTTTGTGTGTTTGTGTGTTTGTTGGTTTGTTTGTTTGATTATTTGTTTGTTTGTTTGTTTGTTTTTTGTTTGTTTGTTTGATTGATTGTTTGTTTCTGTTTGTTTGTTTGTTTGCTTGCTTGCTTGTTTGTTTGCTTGTTTGTTTGTTTGTTTGTTTGCTTGTTTGCTTGCTTGCTTGCTTGCTTGCTTGCTTGCTTGCTTGCTTGCTTGGTTGGTTGTTTGCTTGCTTGCTTGCTTGCTTGCTTGCTTGCTTGCTTGCTTGCTTGCTTGCTTGGTTGTTTGTTTGTTTGGTTTGTTTGTTTGTTTGTTTGTTTGTTTGTGTGTGTGTGTGTGTGTGTTTGTTTGTTTGTTTGTTTGTTTGTTTGTTTGTTTGTTTGTTTGTTTGTTTGTTTGTTTGCTTGCTTGTTTGTTTGTTTTGTTTGTTTGTGTGTTTGTTTGTGTGTGTGTGTGGGACTCTGCGTGCGCAAGGATGCGTGCGTGTGTGTGTGTGTGTGTGCGCGTGCGTGCGTGGCGTGTGAGTGCGTGCATGCGAGCGTGCGTGCGTGCGAGCGTGCGTGCGTGCTTGTGTGTGTGTGTTTGTTTGTTTGCGTGTTTGTGTGTTTCTGAGTTTGTGTGTCTTGGTGCGTTTGCGTTTGTGTTTTGTGTGCGTGCTTGTATTTGTGTGCTTTTGTGTTTGTGTGTGTGTGTGTGTGTTGGTGTGTTTGTGCGTGTTTGTGTGTGTGTGTGTGCGTGCGTGCGTGCCGTGCCGTGCGTGCCGTGCCGTGCATTCGTGCCGTGCGTTCGTGGTGCGTTCAACCCGTGCGTGCAGGGGCGCGCATCTGCTGTGATTTCCAAATCGAATCAGACTCCCCACGCTAAGCCGCTAAGCTATGGGCTCCCAGGATGTCTGGACTCCAGGCCCGGATCTTGCCCAACACGTTCTCACCCTGACCAAGATGTTCGGCCCCAAAGCGAGAAGCCAATAGCTCGGTTTTATGGCCGTGGTAAATGAGTACTAGCTGCACAAGTTGCTCCATACGCTAAACAGTACTGACACGTCCAAACGGTGCTCTGCTCTGGCTTCCGCGCCTTCCATGTGTTGACATTGAAGGAGGACCAACCCATGAGGTTGTAGGACATTACCTCATGTGAATTGAGCCAGGCCGTCAACCGCTGCAAGCCATCTGCTGGACTCCACCAGCATGCGGCTCTTCCATTTCGAACAACTCTCAGCATGTCACACGGGCCTTGATGGACACGCTGGGCTCACTCTTGTTTGCCAGTGGCAGCAAAGTTGGCAAACTCGATTGGAGCGCCTGCCACGCCGAGGCAATGGGCAATTGAAGGCAAAAAAGTCGCATTGCAGAGCTCATAACGCGATGCACCCATTGAGCAGCGCGCCGTCTGCTGCAACGCTTGTTTCGACAGCGGCTTTTGCAGCAGCAAGTGCTCCCTGATCATGAACAGACAGTGCATGGGATGCAAACGAACCTTTTGCCATGAAAATGTACAATGGCAAGCAACATTGATATGACTGCAAAGCCCAACACAGGTGTGTCTCAAAGATATTTACCCAGAAATAGGCGCCCAAAATGGAACCCTGGTAAATGGAAAAAGTAGACTAAAACCTGCAGTCTCCCAAATTTGGAGCCACACTATTATGAGCAAACTTCAGAGTTCTCTGTTTCACTAGCATCCTATCCAGGATGACTCGTCAGCGCCTGGACGGAGCAACCTCAGCGGCTCACCAATGCACAGACTTGCAGTGCACAACAACAGATTCAGCGTGCTGAATAAGGCGTGCCTTCGGAGGAACATCTCCGGAGCAGGAATCTGTCACCTCAGCTTGAAGCTCGTTTCCATGCAGCAGAATGCCAGTTTACTGCCAGCAAGCAACAGGCACCGCCGGATCCCCAGCAATGAAACCAGCACCTGACTCTCCGAGCTACAACATCCAATGCCGACCATCTTTAAAGAAACCCATGCGTAAGGCTGTTTGCATTGTGCCAAGCTGCAAAGAAGCAGTGAAAGAAATCGCATATAGATGGCCATCGCTACAAGTCTACCAGATCTGCACGTCTCAATGTCATGGGCTACAATGTGTGCCAACTGCTTGTCAGAAGATGCATCTGCTGCATGCACAAAAACAAAACAGTTCCAACTTAGCTCATGCATGTCACCCGGACTTGAACATGATCGGCAAGCGAGGCGCAGTTGCGATGGTTGCCTTATGTTGCCTTGATTGCCCATGTCTCGGCAGCACAAGGACAGGCGCAGCCTGTGCAAATGACAACTGGGCCATACTCCTTGCTGCACCTCCCTGATTTCTTGTACTCACAGCCTCAGTTCAGGTCACAAAAGTCGTGAGCCCCCACATTTGCTCGCCAGCAGCTACTGAAAAAAATGCGATGCACGGGAGGCTAAGCGCATGTCCCACGACATTGCCACATCGGAACAGGAGCTGCACTACCTCTGCCTTTGTGACAAGGCGAGCTCTGTCAGACACCTCAGGGCAGCTTGTCTCAACAGAAAAAAAATGGATTGACAGGCCCAAGTTTTGGAGCTGCAGCAAACAATGGTCACCTATACATGTTGTGCCATGGTTGGCGAACCTGATGACCATAGTCAGAGCATCACACGCATGATCAGGATTGGTCAGGGCATCGGCAGAAATGTTTTCCCTAGGTCTGGCATGGGCCTGGGCAAAGAGAGAGAGGGAGAGAGGCAGCGTCCCCAGCATCACCAGCCTAGAGCCTGACTTTACCTCAAATTTGCGCCTAGCCCCACATGCATTTGTGCATCACAAGTCCTGATCATCTTGACGTGCGCCAAATATTGGATGACATGCTGGCAATCCGGCACAGACAATCAGCAAAGGCGATCATTCGCCATGATTCCGGCGCAGTGATAGAAATGCAACATGACCATGGACAGGCGGATGGGAAGCATGCACAACAAATCTAGGTGCAATGCTCAGCCAGACTACAAACACTTGGTAGTTCTCTTTGTCGCCCCCCATCTGCGTGACCAGCCGTAAAGACACAGAATCTGCCCATTGAGAAGGAGCAAGCACCAAGCCTCAACAGAGCAAAACCTGCCCTCTTTCCAACAATCACAGAAGTCGATAGGAGACCTGTTGAAAACCCTCCATTGCGCTAGGCACCATGGTAATCTTTGGAGAGGACAACCCTGCAAAGGGCCTCCGCCACCTTCTCCAATGTCTTGATGAGAGAATACGTGATGGCCATCCCAGGCAAGCTGTCTTTTGTCCTCGTGCTAGAAACTCACCTTGCATGCTGTGTTTTAAGCTTTATGCAAGCCTAACACAAGCTCCTGTAGGTTCTCTTGCATGAATGGCCAGACAGCTTCGACACCACTGCAAAATCGAGTTCGAACTTGTCAATCAGCCAGTTCATATCAGGCAAACTGTTCCGACCTCAGACACATCTACAATGTACAAATGTACGGAAGGAATTTGCAGATTCATTTGGCTGCACTCGTCACTCAATCAGCCAAAGCACAAAGCACTGCTGCAAGCTCACCATTGCTCTCTCCCATTTGAACTGTGTCGTCCTTGAACTTAATCTCGGAATCACCTTTGGGGAAGTTGATGCCAGCCGTTGCCTTCACAGAATTGCCGCCACAAAAAGGCGCCTCACAGGGGCTATGGACAATCAACGGCAGCACGCACGACAAAAAGAAATTCAGCCAGCACAAGCAAGAGTAGAACAGTTGCCAAAGACTGCCATAGGAGTCCCGTTGACTGTTTTCCTTGACCACTGAAACCCAGCCTTTTCGAGAACCAAGACGCGACCTCCTCTCTCCAACACCTGATTCATTCAAAATCATTCCAAACAAACAAGCCTTGTCATGCGTCAGAGACTGAGGGTGCTCATGGTTTGATGCTGTCTGTATTGAGCTCCGTTGATTTACCTGCGCGCTGCTCAAACATATTTTTAGCTCAAAGAAGAGACGCAATCTCCAGTAAGGTGATCCGGAAAGCTGTCGAAGACAGCTTGCACCCTCGTGCTGTCATGGCAATCGTTTCCATGTTCTGAATTGTTGTGGACTCGACAGCAGCTTTGCACAAGATCCTTGTGCAATGGCTTTTCTTGACAGCAGCTTTGAGCAACAACACATTTGACATGATACAAAAGTGAAAGGCGGATCAAAGTACTCTGATCCTTCAGCAAAGTCCGGAAAATATGGAGGTACAAGTTTCAAAAGCACGAATAGATATGTCTCAAGACGCTTATCGGTTGCAAAAGATCGCGCACTAAAACAGTTCGCTTCGCAGTGCGGGCGCGACCTGAAACGCACACAAACGACCGCTACGTTCGTACTAGGTGCCGTGACTGACAGCTGCTTGACATGGGTACACAACCAACTAGCTAGCAAGTGAGTTAGTTAGTTGACGAATTGTGGGTTGGTTGGGTTGGTTGGGTTGGTTGGGTTGGTTGGGTTGGTTGGGTTGGTTGGGTTGGTTGGGTTGGTTGGGTTGGTTGGGTTGGTTGGGTTGGTTGGGTTGGGTTGGTTGGGTTGGCTGGGTTGGCTGGGTTGGTTGGGCGGGTTCGGATGGTTGGATAGGTTGGGTTGGCTGGGTTGGGCGGATTGGTTGGGTTGGTTGGGTGGGTTGGTTAGGTGGGTTGGGTGGGTTGGATTGGTTGGGTTGGTTGGGTTGGTTGGGTGGGCTGGATTGGTTGGGTTGGTTGGGTTGGTTGGGTTGGTTGTGTTGGTTGGGTTGGTGGGTTGGTTGGGTTGGTTGGGTTCGCTGGGTTGGGCGGATTGGTTGGATTGGTTGGGCGGGTTCGGATGGTTGGATAGGTTGGCTGGGTTGGGCAGATTGGTTGGGTTGGTTGGGTGGGTCGGGTTGGTTGGGTTGGTTGGGTTTGTTGGGTTCGTTTGGTTGGTGGGGTTGGGTTGGCTGGGTTGGGCAGATTGGTTGGGTTGGTTGGGTGGGTCGGGTTGGTTGGGTTGGTTGGGTTGGTTGGGTTCGTTTGGTTGGTGGGGTTGGGTTGGCTGGGTTGGGCAGATTGGTTGAGTTGGTTGGGTGGGTTGGGTTGGTTGGGTTGGTTGGGTTCGTTTGGTTGGTGGGGTTGGGTTGGTTGGGTGGGTTGGGTTGGGTTGGGTGGGTTGGGTTGGTTGGGTTGGTTGGGTTCGTTTGGTTGGTGGGGTTGGGTTGGTGGGGTTGATTGGGTTCGTTTCGTTGGTGGGGTTGGGTGGGTTGGGTTGGTTGGGTTGGTTGGGTTGGTTGGGTTGGTTGGGTTGGTTGGGTTGGTTGGGTTGGTTGGGTTCGTTGGGTTCGTTGGGTTCGTTTGGTTGGTGGGGTTGGGTTGGTTGGGTGGGTTGGGTGGGTTGGGTTGGGTTGGGTGGGTTGGGTTGGTTGGGTTGGTTGGGTTCGTTTGGTTGGTGGGGTTGGGTTGGTTGGGTTGATTGGGTTCGTTTGGTTGGTGGGGTTGGGTTGGTTGGGTTGATTGGGTTCGTTTGGTTGGTGGGGTTGGGTTGGTTGGTTGGTTGGTTGGTTGGTTGGTTGGTTGGGTGGTTGGTTGGTTGGTTGGTTGGTTGGTTGGTTGGTTGGTTGGTTGGTTGGTTGGTTGGTTGGGTGGGTGGGTGGGTGGTTGGGTGGTTGGGTGGTTGGGTAGTTGGGTAGTTGGGTAGTTGGGTAGTTGGGTAGTTGGGTAGTTGACTAGTTGACTAGTTGACTAGTTGACTAGTTGACTAGTTGACTAGTTGGTTTGTTGGTTACTTGGTTGCTTGGTTACTTGGTTACTTGGTTACTTTGTTACTTGAGTACTTGGTTACTTGGTTTCTTGGTTACTTGTTTACTTGGTTACTTGGTTACTTGGTTACTTGGTTACTTGGTTACTTGGTTATGGTGCTTGGTTCGTTTCTTGGCTACTTAAGTATTCTGCTACGTAGCTTGCGGGCTAGATGGCTAGTGTGTTGCATTCTGCGATTTGGTTCGTCAAGTAGCAACCGATTCTATTTGTCAAATTGAGACCACAACTGTTGCTTGTTCCCGCGAGCCGCTGCCTAAGCGCTAGCTAACCTTACACGGAGGTTTAATGTATTCAGCATGTTTGGCAATCGAAGAGTCTGTTGCCTTTACAGAGCAAGTCGCCTTGCAGAATGCCTGGCACGAAAACGGATGTAAATTCTTCAATGGGGAATCCGGCATAGGTGGCACCAAAAAAACAAATGGCCAGCAAGCAGTCCAGGGATCGGAGAAGTAGCCATGGATCGCCCAAGTCAAGCTCTAAACATGTGCCCCTTATTGCAGATCTTTGGTCAGCCCAACCTAAACATCCCCCGCCAATCGACACCAAATCCGAAGATTTCTGGTTGGTAGCCCGATATAGCCTCTCTTTCTTTCTCCGGATGCAAGTTTTGCCAACCGGCCTTGTAAGACTCTGTTGTCGCAATTGACAAAATCATGTTGGTGAAATGGAGCCTTGAAAGCTTGTGTTCTATATTGCTGGCTTTGGGTTAGAGGATGGGGCTAAATGTTTGCATATGTGCGCTTTGCTGCTACCTTGATTTTGGCTCGGAGGTTGGCATTGCCAGGAACAAACGTGCACTGCCTAGCAGTGGCAAGAAAGCTTGCACAAAAAGCAAAGCCTGAACATCCCTAACTTGGCTCTGCCTGCAAACCCAAACCCTAAGCTTCTGTGAGTATACGTTTAGTCCTGCCCCACCACATTCCAAACTCTCAGCTTTCGTGCCTGAAACAAAGAAAAAAAACATCCAGCCCCTCCAAACAGCCACTTCCTAGCAGCAATCTCAACTCCCAAGTCCAAATTGAAAGTTGTCTCTTTCGCTTCAATCCAAACACCCTCAACGTCCAGCCTCACACGAAGCTGTCCTGCCAGCAAACCAAATTACAAACACCAATGTTTCAGCTCCTCCTGCAAACCCTGGGCCTTTTTGCCGGCACCCTCACAATCCCAACCCGAAACCTCTCTGACCGCAATCCTAGCCCCCGCACAAAAACCCAAAACCCAAAGAGCCTAAACAGACATATCGAATGCATTGAACGCAATGCCCCTAGGTTTCGGCAACAAACCAAGAGCCTGAATCAGCAACCCCCAAACCCAAGCCCTAAACATCAGCCTAAACCCTAAACACTCAGCCTGATCGTGTCTCTCCCCGGTTGGCTGTGCGACTGGTGCTCCTTGACTGGCAAACACCACATCAGCATCAGCCTGAACTCTAAGTATAGCCAGGTGCATCAACGATCAAGACTGCATCTTCTGATGCAATCCATGTGATGCCACAAGTTAGCAGCAACGCAACGTTTGCTCCGGCCTGAACAAGGCCCAGCCGCCATTCTGTCGTTGCAGGCCGCTCGGCTCACACACTTCCGGAAGGCTTGCATTATCGTGGGCTGGCCTGCGTCCAGCAAGCAAGGTGGTAAGCCGGGTCAACCATTAGAAACGTGATGGAAGGGGCTGGAGCGTCGCGTCGCGCCTGGAAATCCACTTAGCCACAAAGCGCGCTTCCAACACCAGGACCCGTGGCCAGCGGCACAAGCCGCGAGCTTGCAACAGCCCGGCGGCCAAGCACTTTGGCTTGACGGGTGTTGGACAGGATCTGACGGGGAACGGTGTCCGTTGCCAGGGAGACAGGCGCGGCACTGCAGCCACGAAGAATTGGTTGGCTTAGTTTTCTGGTGGCAATTACCCGGCCTGCTCCCTCTTTCAGAAACAGCTTCAGGGCCGCGGCCACCAGGATCAGCCAGCCAGGCACTGTTTCTCGGAAGGCAAAGTCTGTGACTGCCAAGCTCTAAAGCATACTCTCCATGAATTGCTGTTTGGGCGTTTGGGCGTTTGGGCGTACGTCGCGAGGCCGCACTAGATAAAGATGTGCAAATGTGAACCATCAACACAACCGGCAATGATGAATACACGAAGAAGATTGAGCAACGCAAAACGATGGGCATACGGCATACAGGAAGACAGCAGAGGCATGCAAACAGAAGAGCATTAAGGGGCAAAAACAAGGATCCGTACTAAATAAGCTGGGCAAAAAATGAATGAGAGGAAGAGCAAATCAGATTTCAACAAATGAGAGATCCCCATGTCAAACGGGACTGCTGTTCTTTAGCTCTCTTCAACTATCAAGCGAGCGGCCTGGTTGGCCACCACCATTCCTGCAAGGCCCCCTCCCACAACCACGACATGGCTGGCAGGGAACAAGGCCATAAGGCCATCTGTTGTGCATGACTGATGTGTGTACTACAACATGTCTGCATAATGCAAGCAAAACGCCTCAAAAGAAGAAATCAAGTACACAAAACGTGCCGGTTGCAAGTATATGTTATTTTTGTTCAAAATATGTTGTCAAGAAAGCACCTTGAAAGCAGGGTTTTGCATCACTCGAGACTCCGTTGACAGCTAAAGCCACCCCTTGTGGTATCACACTCCTGACAAGATATTGGCTATGCCTTACTGTCTGGGGTCCTTCACACAGATCCAGAGTTTGTGATCTCCGAGCGGAAGCGCAATCTGTAAAGACTGGGAGCCCATAGCTCTTGACTTCTCGCATGAGAAACTCGGCCCTTTTCCAAAGGCTCTGTCAATCCTTGCTGAGCAACGTACCTTTGCAGTCAGAAGTCAGTGTCAACATCGGCATGCAGCAAATATGGCAGCACAAGCACGGACGAGCTTGCCTTTTGCAATTGGAAGAGATCACGCGTGCACAGAAGCCTACTTTACCTCGAATAGGAAAGTGCATGAATATGTTTTGCTGTTGACGAATGACAACTAAAATGAAGTCCAGCACGTCAGTCTTCTGCCAATGAAGTGAGAATCTACTATCCTCGCAGCGCCCTATGCCTCCTCTCTTTCACGCATTGCTTTGACCAAGTCGGATTTATACCTCCAATGCGCCAAGCGAGGAAGAAGCACATGGCTCTGACATTTCCTGGCATGCCCTTGCTGAGGAGAGCGCATGAAATACTGACTTGATGGAGAACAGTTCCTGTAGATCAGCCTGCTAAGCTCATTCTCCACGTCAACCTGCCGAGTGTCGACAGCAAAACCACATCGGTCTTGGACAATCTGAAAGCAGGCAAGGTTGCCGAGTGCTGTGCTGTTTGCATTTGATTTCTTAGCGGATCTCCCCAGCAACTGTAATGGTCCTGGTTGTCATCTGAAAGAAAGTCGACGAAAACCATGCATGCCGTGCTCAATTGATGTGGCTCGGACAGCATGTTGCTGCGCAGAGCAGATGAAATGTTCACGGGAAACACACTTGCACAAGCTAAGCAACATGGCAGCACATCATATTCTGTTCAAGCGTGTGAGCAAATCGCAAGAACTGCTATGGAGCGTCGCTATTGCTAGGCTCTCACCAACCGAACAAATACATGCAAATGTTGCCTTGTACACGTCTTCGCCAGGTGAGCCACCAAGCCAGGCAAAAACAGCCTTTGGTGTTGATGCGATTGTTTGACAGATGGCTTGCATTCAAAAGAGGTGTTGCTGAGCTTCTTCATGTCAGATGCAGCAGCTGGATACATCGCGTGACACTGAGCCTTTCAAATACTGGCCTCACTTCCCACAAAGTCCACCATTCCCAGCCTGAGCGCTGCTTCATTTCTTGCTTGCTCACAGATTCTGACACATGTCGGCACTCAGGCTGAGAGATCTGGCCGCTGTGCTTCGTTCGCGTCGATGGGATCTCCAACCAGCTCGAGTCGCCTCACAGCCTGGCCAGACATGCCTCTCCTCTCAATTGAACGCTAGTCAAGGTGCCTTTTCCATCAGCCTTTTCTTCA